CTTCCTTGACGTGGGAGCATCGTCGTGCCTCTCTGCATCCCGCCCATCATCGGTGGACGACGCTCCACCAAGGTCGCAACGATGCTCCAGTCTCCTTCATCCTCGGAGGATCTCGTGTTGCCACCCATCTTCTTCGTGGGATCCTCTGACTCAAGCTCCGTGTCCATGTCGCTCCTGTTTTCACCGGCCCGCACCCGCCGGGTGATCTCCTTCTTCTCGTGCCTCCTCCAGGCCTTTTTAGCTCTCTTCTTCTTCTTGGCAACCGCTGCCTCTTTCAGAGTGGCTTGCTAAGCTACGCCTTCTGACCCCTCGAAAGATGCAGCCGTGACTTGTAACCCACGAGTCCCTATGAAATAGACGACTCAAAGTCAAAATACAGGAGAGCAAAAGGGAAAAGGACATGGAATGAGAACAAGGGAGCATACCAGATTGGACAGCTTCACAACATGAAGAGGTATGGGCTTTCCTTTAAGGGACTCTTTGTCCCTCAGTTACAACACCCGGTTGAGCTGACTACAGACTTCATCCTTTGCCAACTCCTTCAGCGACGTGCAGTCGGGATCCGTTGGGCCGGGGTAGGCCCACATCGATCGCCTCCTCTTCGCCAGCAGGGCAACTTGACGGTGGAAGAAAGTGTGGAACACCCATAGCCCGTTGAGGCCATGCTGCACCAACTTCTAGAGCTCTGCCTCGATGACCTCTAGCTTATTCTACCGACTAGAGGGCCCCAACAACTAGCTCTCCCACCTCTTCGGCCTTCTTTTGGTGAATGGTGGGAATGACGCCTCCACTAGGTTCCTGATGTAGAACCACTCCCCATGACACCCCGATTGGAGTCATAGGGGGAGTACACGGGGTAGGAGCCCAATGGCCTCGGCTTCTTTTGCAAGGCGAAGCCCCCAACCGGTGTGGTCTTGGGTGGCTTCCCCTCTAGCAGGGCTCGCCTGGTGAAGATCCACCAGAATAGATCCACATGTGGCTCCATCCCGAGGAAGGCCTTATAGACGGTGATGAAACTGACAATGTGCAGCACCCTAGTTGGATTGCTGCAGCTCCAGGCCCCACTCATTGAGGAGCCCACGCAAGAACCAGTGTATGGGATATCCTATCCCATGCTCGTGGAAGGTGAGGAAGGAGACACCCTCATTGGCCTGAGGTCGCGGAACGGCTTCCCCTAGCATAGGAGCCCTCCAGTGCGCCACCTCCTTCGGTGGAAGTAGCCCCTTCTCGACGAAGGCGGCCAGCACCGCCTCATCTACATTGGATTGCCTCTAGTTCGACATCACGCTCTGGACTCACGAATGGATCTATGAGTTCTCCTCTCCCTCGCTTTACCCTCTCTCTCAGAGAAACTACCACGGCACATGAACACGCTTGGCAAGAAGGAATGGGACGAAAACCCTCTCCCTTCCCCTATTTAAATACAAACAGTTATGTGATGGGACGAACACTGATGGGATACACCCTGCCCAATGAAACATCACCCGGTTAAAGTGGGACATGGCCTGGGTTGGGCCCACCATTACCACAACCCCAATGCAGGAAACAAGGTGCACTCGCATGCAAATGACCCTCCACCTTCCCAAGCAAGGTTTGGAAGGGCCCACCGATAGGATCTCCGTCAAGGAGAGACGAACGGGCTACCTAAGTCGATCAGATAGCTAAGGCGACTGCTGAGAGACAGGTAAGGGGCAGTGGGATGCCCCATGCGGGCTATGCCGACTCCGCCATGAATGATGAACATGGATCCCATTCAGACATATCTGATGAGAGCTCCTCAAACCCATCACTCGAGTCATCAAGGTAGCTTTACCAAACATTCTTACTTTATTTTCTGATGCATGATCATTCATTCATCCTTTATCATACACGCATCCACACATTCATTCATACAATCATTCATTCATCCCATACATCCAAAGCATTGCATATGCAATTAATGCATCACAACGCTTCATGTTGCATCACGAAGCGGTAGTTGCCTCATTCAACATCAGCAACGGCCGACCGGGGTTCGAAGGCCGGCCTGCGAAGGGCTCGAGGCCGCCTCACGTCAAACAGAGCTAGGGGAGAAAATGCAGATGAGCCCAGTGGCCCTCGCCTAGTATGCTCAGAAGCAGACAGGGTCATCTCGACCTTCTCGTTCGATCATAACCTCGAGCCATGCCCATAGAATCTCCATCGAGGGAAGGCCAGCAGGCCATTGAAGTTGGTCTTTGGAATGACCCGAGCATCTACCGAGAGGTGGGTTAAGGAGCAGTGGAATGCCACATGAGAGCTAGGCTGAACCCATTACAAACGACAGGCCGGATTCCGCTCCAATGCGCCCGTTAGTGAGCTCACTGAACGCGTCACTCGAGCCATCGAGGCAAGCGATGTTAGCTCAGCCCCTCCAGTTGCGGAAACTATGGACGGGGTAACGCACGGAACTAGACCAACCCCTACTAAACCCAATGGGGCTCGGGGGCTCAGGTCGCCCGACGCCGACACGAGAAATCAACCGACCGCGCAGGTCACGGGTGGGACAAACACAAGCGAACACCCCAAACGGTAGAAACACAGGAGCCTGCGGCCCTAGGAAAGAGTACTACGATACTCAGCCTCCAACTGACTCACTAGTCGGACGCAGGCTCAGGGGCTACACCCATCGAGTGCGCTCACGCGCACCCGCTGGCAAGTCAAAAAATCCCCCAGACGATTCTACCCAAATCGCTCGGGGGCTCAGGGGCTCCTGTCGGGTTCATAAACCCAGGGTCCCTAATGGGACCGCTTCCCAGCAAAAGCTCGGCCCGGCAGATGGCATTATGAACGACGTGCAACTCCTGGGCTGACCCAGATACCTAACGGCAGGCCAGAAGAGCGATCCAGTCTCCGACTGGAAGGCCTAGCCAAGGAGGGGACGACCCTAGCTTCCGACTCTGACCCACTTCTCCGATCCAAAGGCGTGGCCAAGGATGGGACGATGCTCGCTTCTGACTCCGACCCGCTTCTCCGACCGAAAGGCCTGGCCAAGGAGGGGACGACGCTCACTCCCGACTCTGACCCGCTTCTCTGATAGGGAATACACCGAACCTCTGCTTACGGCTCTTCTCCAACCGGCACGGTCGGAGCCAACTGGGAACGACTGGCCGGGGACGCCCGCTCGGTGAGGACCCAAGAAATCAGGCGGAGCAGATAAGATAAGGCGCTCAAGTCAACTGCAATGCCGAGGACCGTACCCTGCACACCTGCAGGACAGTACTGTCAGGCCATGCCAGAAGGGTACTTTACAGCCTTCCTGACATGTCAGAACACAAACAGTATTGTAGACGTCGACATTTGTCCTACAGTATGGTAGGCACCGACATTTGCCATACCAAAATAACACGATGGAGCCTACCACATGCATCTGGGCGTCAACAACATTGTGGGCGCCGACAAACTATCTTGTACCCGACGGCATGGGCAACAAGACTAGGGCACACACTCTCACTCTCTCTCTCTCTTGAACTTATAAGGCCGTCCCCTTCATCTATAAAAGGGGATGCGCTCTCTCCCAACAGAGGATGATCATTCCGACTTTCTCTGCTAGCTTTAGACGTTTTGAGCACTCGAACAGCATCGTGGCTCTAGAACTCTAAAGCTACACAGAGCATATGTTCCAATACCTAGCGCACGTAGGAGCTCCCATCACTCTCGGCCCTTCAGTCCAGAGTCCGACCGGACCTCTAACACCCCCATCTTATTCCCACTCGTTGGTAACCCCACAACAAACTTCGAGCACCTGAGCTCAGGAATAAAGTCACCGACCGACTCAAACTGGACGTAGGGCACGTTGCCTGAACCAGTATAAACCCTGTGTCATTGAATGCTAGGCCACATCCGATCACAACGTCTGGCAAAACGACGAATATTTACTTGTTGGTCACTTTTCGCACCGACACCTTTCTTATAGCTCACTGAATTTAAATTGGTAAAGCATAATATTAACCTTTATAAAATAGTTTTTCAAAATTGTTAATTTTAATCATATGTAAAGTAAGAAAAATGCACTCATCTATTTTATTTTACTACCATATGTTTATTCGTGTCTCTAGTTAAGGTATTACTTATTAAGAAAATAAATTGATTGCTTCTTCATTAGACAAGAAAACATTCATTATTTATTTGTTAGCTTTTTCAGGCCAGGCTTCCAACCAAACAGTCAACTTCCAGCTTGCCTGGCTAGGCAAAAAATTTTAAATTTTCAAGCAACTCTTGGGTAACACTTTTTACTAGGCAAGTCATCCAGCCTTCAACCAAACAGGCCCTTAGCATCCAACACCAACCATGTCATCCGTCCCTTGTTTTCCGCAACAGTGCTTTTGTATCCCAGCAGCTATATTTGTGAGGGTTTCTACCATTGTATTCTATGTATAGAACCTACACCCTCCACCCCAAAAATCGAAGTTGGACCATGCCTCACGCTCTCATCGCTTACGCCACTGAGTCACCCACTCGCCCGAGATGAGACACCGATCAAGAGTCAGGATGATGAGACTCGAGAGTCGAAAACCAACCGGCACTAGGTGAGATTCTTGGGAGTGCGACGGGACGCAAAAGATGTTTTTGGCTGAAGATTGTTGGGCTACATAGGATGCAGAGGAAAAAAACTAAGGCCTCTGAGAAATGGGGGCCTCTGCGATCGCACAGGCCGCACCCACTCCGGCACGGCCCTGCAACACGTGTCTCCCCCCACGCAGCCAGCTGCGGGTGTCATACCAGTGCTCGGCAGAAGCGCGCTCCTGAGTGGATGGGGCATCGTTACCTTGTGTTCATAATGGATACTATACTAGGAACAAAGCACACCACTCCCTGTACTCCATAGACCACACAAAGCATCTCTTAGGTTTCCTATATTCTCATCCAAAAAAAGAATAGCCAGCTGTTATATTCTGTATAAATTCTCATTCTCTGCACCACTAAGGTTAACTGATGCTCCACATATTCATGTGGCAGATGCACTTCCACACTATAAAAGAATGGCTAGCTACCACCATGAACTCAAGCAGCCAAGAGTGACACAACAAATACCAACCAGAAGCCCTCGATTCACTGCTTATTCGCACGACTCCGACCAGATGTCAGGCAATGGGATGAGCGGGGTCTTCACCCCTGTGATTCAGGGCAAGGACCAGCAGTCCAGCATGAACAGCATGCAGGTAACTGAACCTTTCAATAAGCATTATTCTCATGACCAGCTCCAAAGGTCATGTTCTACGAGCGAGGTGCACTCCCGCATCGAGTGACGAGCTGTTTTTCTTGCTCTTGTAGAACCATAACACGGGCAACAGCACAACTGTACCTGTAACTGGCTTGTCCTTCACCGGTGGCGCCGTCTTAAGTGGTAACTCAGTTAACGTACCACCTCCGCCACAGGTGAAAAATACTCAAGAACCCCCCTCTGCTAGCATATTTTCCTTAATTATTATCAGTTTGCAGGAAAGAAATAAATCTTGGTCAAAGCTAAGTATCGTATACGAGTATAAAAAAATGTTACGATGGGTTATTTGAAGGATATTCATCTGATTATTACTTGGAGGATAAATAGGCCCATGAAATCATCATGAACATTGCTTGGAACAGACAGTATTGATTTCAGAAGAACCAGGTGCTGGGGTTATATTTTTTCTCTGATTTATAAAAAAGTGCTCTCTCTTTGGATCTCTGCAGATAATTATTTCTTAGGCAAACTTGCCACAGCAGGTTTACCCTCATTTGAAATTGGATGTCAGCTAGTTGTACCAATTCCAATGAATTTATTTACTTATCTTCCAAGTTTCAAGACCACAATGAAAGTACACGGGTTTCGTTAGGACAAGACAAAACCAACAACTACTCCATTAAATATAATCTACTATATAAGTGATATCAAATCAAGTCATAGGTAAGGACTCTTGCATACAAATCAAATGTTAAGAAACCTTAAACACCTTGTATTCTGGCACAGAGGCGGTCTGTCTTTTGAGTGAGGATCGTCAGTAATGCTTTTTTCACATTTAGGCTGCAGGAAACACCAGCTTTGGCATCAGGGGGAATTCGAACTTCTGAGGTGGAAGTGGCAGGAAGACCTTCTACTACCAGCTTCTACCAACATATATGAAGTAAATAGTGAACCTGATAGAATAAAGCACTACTAGCCAGACTATGTATGTACTTCTAAATAAAACGACCTTACGCCCATGTTGGAGTCCTGTATATTCATGTCTGAATAAAGTCATGGGCCTATATATCTCAGGGCTTAGCTAGAAAAACCAGTCATCGGCGCATATGGCTTTGATTTAATAGAATGCCCTTAGCCATGCAAGGCCGTCTATTATGCTCCACATGTGCAATGAAGGTCTTATAAGGTCCTCCTTATTTGTCTCTACACTACTACAGATATGAGATTTAGTCCCGGTTGGGAACCAGCTTTACTCCCGGTTTCCCAACCGGGACTAGCAATCCAGGGCTAAAGGTGTTGTTATTTAGTCCCGGTTTGCCACAACCGGGACTAAAGATCCTCCCAGCTTTAAAAAAAATAATGCCTCCCACCGCTGCGCCCTGTGAGATTCGAACCCAAGACCTCATGCACTGCCTCGCGCGTAGCTTACCACCCCACCCACACAACACATTTAACAATGGATGTGATGCTTTCCTTTTGAACTAACCCATCCGGGGACCTTTTATTCCCGGTTGGTGTTACCAACCGGGACTAAAGGGTCCTTTAGTCCAGGTTGGTTGTTACCAACCGGGACTAAAGGGTCGACATTTAGTCTGGGTTGGTATTACCAACCGGGACTAAAGGTTGAAGGACTTTTAGTCCCGGTTTAGCAGTTGGGCAGGGACCTTTAGTATCGGTTGGAGACACCAACCGGGACTAAAAGCCTTCTAGTCCCAGGGGCAAAAAATGCCGAGGCTAATGCTAAATTGGGACATCGTTGTAAAGTCTGTTCTCTAGTAGTGCTACACTGTGTGATGGACTACTGTGATCCAATATAATTTCCCTGTGAGTGAGATTTTGATTGTACAATGCTGTCAGGGAAAAATATTTCCGTCGGTGGTTGACTTTTTTCCTGTCGGGATAACTGCACAGGAGAAAACAAATAAACCTGGACGAAATCTATTTTCCTGTGCGTGTAAACCCGACAGAAAAGTTATTTGTGATGGCGAACTGACAGAAAAATAGAATTTCTCTGTCGAGCTAGCCCTGTCGGTAGACCGTTAGAAAAATATTTTCCTGTCGGGATTCAAATTTTTTTGTTGGTTTTTGCACACACAGGGCTATTCTAGTTTCCAATAGTGTATGTTTATTGCATTTATTTATTAATGTATGCCTTATGTTTTTTAAGTGCTCTTTTGAATGCATTTAATCATGGACATTATGAATCATGCCATGTAATCTCGAGAATAAAACATTGAATGATTACACTAGCAACATGGCATAACGTATATGAGCTCTATAATCTTGAAGACCTTAGACTTAGTACCCCGAGAGTGTCGTATTATTTTCTATAAATGCTAGTATACTTCTGAGAATATTTTTGCATAATCATCCACTACCTTTTGCACACTACTACTTTTTAACATGCAGTAAATTTATATGCACATGATTCCAATTATTTTGATATGCACATGAAGAAGAAATATCCTCAATTTACCTAGATAGCTGGAATTATCTCTTATGGTCATTCTAAACCTTAATATCCATTGAAGGATATGATCTCTGAAAGATTATTAAACCCAAGAAGGATGATTTACGGCACCACTAAAGTGGAGAAGGCTTAGTCACCGCATTTTCTAAGACACAAAGTATTACTATCAAGAAGGATTACATGACCAATATAAACCCCAAGGTATTATGGGACTCAATGTATGAGAAATTCAAGAAGATAACCCATAAACTCATTCTACAATATCAGTATACTTAATAAATTGAATTTTTCAAGAATATTATACCGTATGGGAATATAATACTGTTCTATACAATTGTAACTAGCTTGAAGCTATGTGCTCTCAATGCCATAGAAGGCAAGATAATAAGCAAGGATTTATTTACAATTATTCTAGAATATTATGAGCAATGAGTACTAGAAGTATTAATATTTATTATTCACAACTACTCAAGATCAAGTACAAATTGAGCTAGAAGTTTGGGCAGCTTATATGAATTAGGATATTATGAAAGTGAGACTTAGCAGTATATATGACTCACATTTACCACACCCCTAGAAGGCTTGTGAATGCATATCACAACCATTTAATAAAGCATGCAGCCACCACATATAAAAACAATAATGAAGATCAAATGGAATATTTCATGACCTTCTTGCAGAAGAACTTAAACATGCATGTGCTTGAGGGGGCGAAGCTCGCCGTAGCAGTCGGCAACATAGGCCAAGCTCCCAAAGTTGAGAACTTGGCCGGGGAAGAAGGCACCGACGGTGAAGACGACCACGCCAGAGAAGCAGTCACCGCCTTCTAGGGTTATGACGCCTGCTTCGGTGATGAGGCGGGTGGCTCCGGCCACAGTAGAGCCGAAATCACACTCGACGCGCTCCCCCACCTGGCACGCTAGCTGTTGCGGGTTTGTAACAGCGGCAAGCATCATGCTTGTTCATCGGATGTCGGAAGTGCGGGTCTCCAGTGGCTTAGGCACTCAAAAACAAAAGAGAGACATGGCAGTTTATCCTAGTTTGGGCTATTGAGGCCCTATGTCCAGTAGTGAGGTGTTCTTTGTGTTTAGGAGCACCCAAATCGGGGGTTTACAATGGAGGAGAATGAGAGTTTGGTAGGGGATCGCTCGGTGCTATCCTACGGCTCGCCGGCGGTGAGGTTTCTTCCCAACGAGTAAGGGAATCGGCCCTCTCTCTTGCTGGGTTGCTGGGAGAGGAACACTCTGCTATTCCTCTCGGTTGCTCTCTTGGCCGATGGTTCTCTTGTCCAATCGGTCTCTGAATGTCTAATATGTTGCTCTATTTGTCCTCTCCCCTCTGGGAGCCTACCCTCCCCCTATATACCGAGGAAGGTCGAGTACAAGTTGGTTTGGGGGTTTTGGTCTATGGTCTTCATGCGCCAAGAGCAGGAGGTTGCTGCCGTGGTGTGGATGGACCTTTGCCTTGTCGTGGAGTTGGTGGAGCCGCGGGCACCACCTGACGTCGCTGGAGCCCATGACACTTGACCATTAGGGGTTGTTTGCTGCGGTCCGACCTTCACCGGGCGAACCTTCCCATGGCCTCCTGGTAATAAATTACCATACCCCAATGTTCCTCCATCAGCCTCAACCATGTTTGAAGATTTCTTTATGGGCTTTCACTTGCTCTCCTCACAGTCCCTAGCATAATGCTCGGGCTTGCCACAAGTGAAGCAATTTCCCTTTTCCTTGTTCTTCTTCTTCTTTTTAAAAGGTGTAGTGGTTTTTTGTTTGAGCTCTTGCTTGAATTTCTTCTTGTGGTAATTTTGAGGATTTTTCTGCACTACACGGGCACTAGAACTTCCATCAACAATTTTCTTGCCGCGGACATCCTTAGTTCTCGCCTTCTCTTCAACATCTAGAGAGCCAATGAGGTCAGCAATGCCAAACTCTTGTCTCTTATGTTTCAGAGAAGTAGCAAAGTCTGTCCAAGCCTGTGGCAGCTTAGCAATAATGCAGCCTGCCACAAACTTATCCGGCAGCACCATACCAAAATTCTCGAGTTCTTTTGCTAGTGTTTGTATCTCATGAGCTTATTCAACCACAGAACGGTCATCAACCATCCTGTAGTCCTAAAACTGCTCCATGACATACAACTCACTACCAGCATCAGACACTCCATATTTGGCCTCAAGTGCATCCCACATCTCTTTACCAGTTTGTAGAGTCACATATGCATCTACTATGGAGTCTCCTAGCACGCTTAATATTGCCCCCTTGAACATAGCATCAGCATCTTGGAACGCACAATCCTCTTCAGGAGTATGCGGTCCAACTAATCTGGGTTCGACAACAAAATAGCAGTGCATAGCAGTAAACCATAATATGCATCTCTCATGCCACCTCTTGTAATGTGTGCCCTAAAAAACATTTGGTTTCAGCATACTCACAAAGCCGACTACCAAAAAATGCCTATCAGGTTTTAGGATTGTTAGAATTTTAGGCAAATTCAGTAGCAATTTAATCCAAAAAATTATAAATAATGTGTTCGTGACATCAGACATGTGCATGTGTGATCTAAGTGCAACAAACATGTGCATGATACTAATCATCATGATTCTAATCATATATAACAAAGGATGGGTTGCAACAGCATACCCAGCGGCACCAGAGACGACACTAGTTGACATAGCGGTTGTCGATGTAGTCGTCCCGCTCGATGCCCTCTAGTAATGTTGCAGTGCCGATCACCCCAAGTCATCGAGAAGTAGCAGGAAGAACAATGAACGAGCGAGCAATCGCATGGACGCTCCTAAAACCTGATTGTCGGTTTTCACCTGAGCAAATGAACTCATGAACGGTGCCAGTTTTGGAGGCCTACTCTCCCTATTCCTGTGCGCGCAGGAAATAGGACGGGAATGGCAAATAGCAGCACAACGCAGCGTGGAGGTGTTCTGGCTATGTGTGCTCTTCTCTCGTGAATAAGAGGAGTGCCCCTTTTATGCAGCAACAAAGGAAGATGAAGTTGAAGAGCTAGGCACATGAAGAGTTAGTAGCCATCATGTCATTCTCTGTT